CAATCTCCACAGAAGCAAAGCCCAAACAACACCCACTGCTGTGGAGTCCATTCTGACCCACAGCGCCCCTAGAGGACAGAGTGGAACTGCCCCACAGGGTCTCCAAGGCTGTCAATCTTTACAGAAGCAAAGCCCAAACCACACCCACTGCTGTGGAGTTCCTTCTGAATCACAGGTCTCTAGAGGACAGAGTGGAACTGGCTTCCAAGGCTGTCAATCTTTACAGAAGCAGACTCCCCCGTTTCTCCTGTGGAGCTGCTGGCAGGTTCAAACTGCCAACCTGTCAGTCAGCAGTGTATTTTTAAGCAATGCAGCATCCTTAGAACACACATAATACATTTACAACTTTAGATGTAAAATTTCTATGGAATTTATGGAGTGGGCGCTGACTCTTGCCGCAAGCATAGATTAATCTGGTTTACCTTTAACATGAGCGAGGCCGGGGCTTCCAGAGGACTGCAAGCATCCTGAGGGCCCACGAGCTCTGCCCCGTGCGTGATGATCTTCTGGCCCACCGGCAGCCTGCCCGTCCTCAGAAGCGCCGTGAGGGGAGGGTCCAGCTGGGCTCTCACTGCGTACCACCCGTCCGTAAGCTCAAGGAGGCCCACGTTTCTGGTGGCCCCACCCTGAGTCTTACGGTTAGAAGTTTCCGGTATGTCTGTGCTCGATGAAATTATTTCCGAAACGCAGAGAACAAGCGTTTTTGCAGCGGTGTCATCCCTCTCTGTGATTTTCTTTATAGCTGATCTTCTGCTTCTGTCAATTTCCACATCGTATCTAAAGTGGAAAGGAACATGCCTGTTGTAGGAGTTGTGAACCTAGAAGTCACTGCAGAACGTCAGAATAATTGAGAATAAAAATTAATAATTGAGAATAAAAATAAAAATTAAGTTCTTTTATGAGAGAAATACCAAGACAGAAGAAAATCTGAACTTGGGTTGCTAGTAAAATAGTAAGTTTTCATACTTTAAAATATGAATTAAATATTAAAAACAAGACAGATGCAAGAGTGTTTTATTGACAATCTGACTACAGGATCAAATTAATACCTGCTATCTTTTCTAGGAGCTCTGGTGGTGTAGTGGTTGAAGCACTGGGCTAACAAAAAGGTAGGCGGTTTGGACCTACTAGCTGCTCTGTAGGAGAAAGATGAAGCACTCAGCTCTCACAAAGGTTACAGCCTAGGAAACCCTGTGGGGCAGTTCCACTCTGTCCTCTAGGGGCACTGTGAGTCAGAATGGACTCCAGAGCAGTGGGTGTGGTTTGGGCTTTGCTTCTGTAAAGATTGACAGCCTTGGAGACCCTGTGGGGCAGTTCCAATCTGTCCTCTAGGGGCACTGTGAGTCAGAATGGACTCCAGGGCAGTGGGCGTGATTTGGGCTTTGCTTCTGTGAAGATTGACAGCCTTGGAAACCCTGTGGGGCAGTTCCACTCTGTCCTCTAGGGGCGCTGTGGGTCAGAATGGACTCTACCAAAGTGAGTTCGGTTTTCATTGTTCCCAGGCGCTCAGAGAGGACAGGGACAGGTAAAGTGGGAACTGTATGAACGCGGGGGCTGCGGGGTGACGAGATGGAGCAGACTGCACAGACTGGACACACAGCTGCCTGTGACCACATGATGATGCCTCTAATGCTCAGAGGGGATGGGGGCAGGTGAAGCGGGAAGTATATGAATGTGGGGGTTGTGGGGGTGACCAGATGGTGTAGACTGCACAGCCTGGACACATTGCCACCCATGATCATGGAACATGACGCCTGACACTTGCCTGTACTTCAGTTGAAGCAGTACCCTTTCTGGGCTTAGGCATCTATTTGCAAATTCCTCGGGGAAGGAAACTTCCATGGCGGCCAGCTTCCACACGATCCATCGGTAGTGATTATTGACCCAAGCTCTTGAGATAAACTCTGGATCCACACCGGGGGTGTCACACAGAGCCCTGAACAAAGAAAGTGGAATAGAAGAACACAAATACCATAAGATGACACTGAGTTCAACAACTTTGAGTGTGCTCTGTACACAATCATGGAACAAGAAGTTCCTATGAGTCAAGATTCAATCAAGTTATTTTAGAAAGTGATTAATTCATACCAAAACGGCACAGTAACAATTCCACCTAGCATACTCAGCAACTCATATTTTAGTGCTTGGAAAATGAAATTACTAATTTTAAATAATTACATTTTGGTTTATTTTTACATCGAGGGACTACGTTTAGAAATTACACCAGAGGACTTCCTTCCCTAGTCCTGGTACTTCCTTGAAGTCTTTCCCTCTCGTCTCAATCTCTGACTCTCTTCCCTCCTGTTGCCACTCTCAACACTGAGAAAACAGGGGCAATCAGTAGCGGACTGTGACAACGTCCGCCCTCCCCTCCGCCTCCACCTGCCCTCCTGTTGTTGCGGGTTAGGGTTAGTGCGGACACTAGCTTCCCTCCTTTGCTGCCCATCAAGGCCTCTGATCGACCCCCCCACACACACACGCATCTTCCTGTTCCTCAAACGCACGAGTCGCGCTCCGCCGCCGGGGAGCCGGGAAGGCTTCTGCCCGCGGCGCTCTCACGCTCTCGCTGCCTCCCCGTGACGCTCATGCTCCTTCCCTCTACGTCCTTCCGGTCACTGGTGGAATGTTCCCTGGGTCCCCTATGCAGGGAAGCCTTCCTGACTCCGTCCTCTATTTCAGTAACTCACCTCTCCTGACCCAGCTCCTCCCACCCTTGCCAGCTTTGTCTTGGTGGTACCTTCTACACAATGTATTCGTCAGCTTTGTCTATTCTGTTTCTTCCCTAACCATCGACCTGTGCTCATGCTCAGGGTCGGTGCCTACACACAGCACCCTCCCGTGGGCTGAGTGACGGCTCTCGGGGTTCCAGGGGCTGATGTTTTGGAAGCAGGTCCCCAGGCCTCTCTTCAGACGCCTGTGGTGGACCTGAACCCCCCACCCACAGCAGCTGAGCTCTTCAGCCATTTTCACCAAGGAGAGACCTGCCTCTCCTCGCCAGCCCACCCCACCCCACACTGCAACGTAGGATCCAAAGGACGGGGACTTTGTTGTCAGCTGGTTTGTTTTGTTTGTCACTATGGTCCCTGGGTGGTACAAACGGCTGCTAACTGAAAGACTGGAGATCTAAGTCTACCCAGAGGCCCCCTGAGAGAAAGGCCTGGTGCTTTATTCTGAAGAACCAGCCACTGAAAACCCCACGGAGCTGTGTGTAACAGAACACACAGGGAGGGGCCCAGTCAGGGAAACTGAGCCACAACCACATACCTCCCGGGACCGAGTCACTGGGCCTGAGACACTCGGGGGACATTAAGGTTAAAGGGCAAAACACGGCACACAAAGACGACACTCCACATGCTGCTGTGGTGAGTAATGACTGGGGTCTCGAGAGCCGCTCTCGAAGATGCAACTTTCGGTGTCTCCCCATCCAGAGAAAAGAGGAACAAACAAAACCAAAGACACAAGGGAACACCTAATCCAAGGGACTAATGGAGCACGTGAACCCCAGTCTCCACAACCCTGAGGCCAGAAGAACTAGATGGTGCCTGGCCACCACTAACAACCACTCTGATCAGGATCACAATACAAAGTGCTGGACAGAGTGAGACAAAATGTACCACAAAATTCAAATTAAAAAAAAAAAAACCAGACTTACCCATGTGAAAGAGACTGGTGAAACGCCCACAACCATGGCGCTCAGGCACCCTTCAAAGCTGGAACTGACCCTACGCTGGGAGACCACCTTACAGCCAAACAACAGACAGGCTTCAAAGTGACCAGTGCCCCTGTGAGGAACACGCTCCTTAGAACATTCAACTGTTTTGAGAGCAAAAGGGCAGCATGTGGCCAAAAGAATAATTCCGGAGGCAGGAGGGGTGGGGAAAAGGAGGGAACGAATGGGGAACCCCGGGAGGAGGTGGGAAGAGTGCTGGGCCACTGAGGGGGCTGGAACCAACACCAGGAAACAAAACGTCTCTCAACTGTTGACTGGAAAACTAATTTGCTGTGTCAACTTTTCACCCAAAACACAACAAAATGTTCTAAATCAGTAAAAAGAAATCAGCATCAAAAAAAAAAAACAAAACAAAACCCCGTGGAGCACAGTTGTACTCTGACACACGTGGGGTCGCTATGAGTGCTCAGTGCGTACTTGCTGAATGAACTAAAATCAACGGATAAGCTTTTACTGTCAACACTCAGCCTGCTCACCTGGCTACCGGGTGATAATGTCCCCAATACCACCTACCTGGTTACAGGGTGATAACTTTCCAAACCCTGCTCACCTGGCTACAAGATGATAACTGTTTAGCTATAAGTAATGCAGTCAACTCACATCAAAGAAAATAACGTAACTCTTAAGTCTTCTTTTTTCTACTAGAGTTGATAGCAGGTGTTTGTTTCATGAGGCATCTGCAAGGTTAATGACTTTCCTGCTTTCAAACACGCAGAAAACATACAAAGACCTCTAATTTAAGGAAAAAATGTTCTCACCTTTCCCGACAGTATAAATTTTGGGAAGATGTACAGAAATTTTTTATAATAAGAGCACTGAAAAACAGATCATCTCCTGCCAACGGCATGCGATAGATAGTACATCTTTGACAGCAAAAATTTCAGTTACATCTGTACAGACACTACAATCAGGAGTGACAGTTTCTAATCAATTCATGTAATTTTAGGGCATGCAAATTTCTAGTTATTTGGCATTATTGATGATTAAATGTTTCAGTTTAGCTTTTCTTGTATATAAGTTATATTTAGGTACCCTTCTGGTGGAGTAGTGCATAAGGCATTTGACTGCTAACCAGAAGGCTGGAGGTTCAAACCCACCAGCCACTCCTCAGAAGGAAGACTGGGCAATGTACTTCCAAAGAGATACCACCTCGGAAACCCAAGCAGGGGTTGCTATAAATCGAATCGACTGGATAGCAATGAGTTTGGTCTGGTTTGTTTTTTCTGGCACCATGGTTAAGTACTCAGCTGATAACCGAAAAATTTGCCAGTTTGAACCCACCATCACTCAACAGGAGAAAGATGAGGCAGTTCCACTCTGTCCTCTAGGGACACTGTGGGTCAGAATGGACTCCACGGCAGTGGGTGTGGTTTGGGCTTTGCTTCTGTGAAGATTGACAGCCTTGGAGACCCTGTGGGGCAGTTCCACTC